TGATTCCAGGAAGCCTGGGGCAGAGAAACTCTGCCTCCGGCTTCCTGTAGTCAGCTGCTGGTCAGTTTCAGCAGCGGCTGAATCTGGATGCCAGTTCCGACTTAAGTACAAATTCGACTTAAGTACAAACCTACAGTCCCTATCTTGTACGTAACCTGGGGACTGCCTGTATTGTTTCCTGCTTTATCCAGAGACATGTACATCTTGCTAAAGATTCACTTGCCAATATCAACATTGCCCTGTGAACTTATGGCAGGGTTTCCCTCTTATTTCTAAAGTTTTGGTGAGTTCATGCTGATGCTTGTGTTCCGAAACCAGGGATCTTTTTTAATCATGGTCAAAGCTGTTATTTTGTTGTGGTCTATGGTGGATATTTTTCTTTAATGGTTCCTTGCCGACATTTTGAAAAGTTTCTTTGTTTTTGTGTGTGTCCTGTTTATAGTCTGTAGCTGCTAGGCAGGCTTGGAAGGATTTCAGGGATTCAGATCATGAGGTTTTGTTCTCTTGTATTTCATTAACAGGACTCCCAAATTGCAGACATATTGGCAACAGCTGGGAATGTTGTGACAGTTACTATCATGCCTTCAAATATCTTTGAACACATAATTAAGAGGTAAGCAAGAAAACTTTGAATCATTTTTTAAAATAGAAAATTAGTTGCACTAATCTGCTTCTTTAAGTGTTGTGGAGGAAATAATATTCCAATGGATGATTACTACTTAGTTTTACCTGAGAACCCAACTCAAACCAAATGCGTCTTATGTGTTTGAATCAAGAAAATGCCAAATCTGGCGTCAGTCACTTGTGGAAATTCATTTATGCTAATACTTTGCTGTAATGTGTGTGTTCACTGATTTAAGACAAAGTGTTGAAAACATCTGTTCTGCAAACAAAGTAGAGGGCAAACTGTTGCAGTATGAGTTAGTGGCATGAAATTAGAACACTGGAATTACTTTACGGAGTAATGTGTACCATACATAATTCCTATAGGTTAGACTGAATCTCAGATTATTGTAGAACAATATTTGTATTTCATTTCCCCTCCTGTGACTCAGTGTTCACATGGGTAATATCAGGGTAGCTTATTACAGAAATGTACAGGCAGTCCCCGGGTTACATGGATCCGACTTACATCGGATCCCTACTTACAAACGGGGTGAGGCAACCCCGCACTAGCTGCTTCCCCCCAGCAGACCAAGGAGACGCGAAGCTAGCGCCTCCCCCAGCAGACCAGGGAGACGCGGAGCGGCTTTTCTCAGCAGACACCTCAGCTTGAGAATAAAGGACTGAGGGAAGTGAGGTGTGGGAGAATAAAACTGAGCTCTGGAGAAATGTTTGGCTAGACTTTCCCCTACAATATGTACCGGTTCCGACTTACATACAAATTCAACTTAAGAACAGACCTACAGTCCCTATCTTGTACGTAACCCGGGGACTGCCTGTATTACCATTACTTCAAACAATTGTAAACCTGAAACGGCTTCTTTTGGGAATTGGGAAATCATTGGCTTTAATCTTGTTGTGTCGGAAGATGTCTCAAACATCTGATATACAAAAATTCAGTAATATATAACTTTTGTAACTTTCTAGTTAATTACTTTGGAAAAAATGTTTACAGCCCTCTTTGAAAACTTTTTTTTAATTTTTTTTTATTTTAGATTGCTAATGTACTTTTGACTACAGCAATGTATTTGACTAAAATATTTGGGTGGTTTGCTGTCAGTCTGGAAGATGTATTTGACAAATGTCAGTTCTAGGTCCAGTACTGTTCTATGTTTTCATTAGTTATTTGGATAATGGCATGGAGACTTTGCACTTATCTTCCTAATCTCATTGTTTACAGAACAACTTCCACAATTTTTTTAGGTCAATTTGAATTCTAATCCTGTCCCCCAAATTGCTTGCAATCTTTCCAAGTTGTGTCATAAGCAAAGTACCTCACTTAGAAGGGGAAAAATCAAATACACCACTGCAAAATAGGGAATACTTAGGTGGTAGTCTTCTGAAGAAGATTTGGGAATGATAATGGATTGCACATTGAGTATAAGCCATCAATGTGATAAAGGCTAATATCATTTAGGTGTGTATTAACTAGAATGTCCAGTAGTAAGGTCTTGTCTACACAGTGAATTAGTTTGCTCTAAATGGGAGGGAATTCTAATGCATATCAGCCTACTGCATACTAATTTCCCTGTTTCAGCAGTGGTGGTACACTAAAACTAGCTCATCTTGACAAAAGATGGACTAGACTCCAGTGTTCTCTGTGTAAAACTGACATTCTTGCCATCTTCTTTTGTGCTTTGAGCCACTGTTACTACCTGACCACCTGTTCTATTTGCAACATGGTAAAAATATTGCTTTCAGTGTTGAGGTTGTTTTAAAAAAAAGTTATCCTTAGCTGTTAAATCCCGAGTTTCTCTGTTGTAGACATCAGGTAGAGTATGCCTCCCAGTTCTGCACCCATGTACGAGGTATGCTAGAATATTTTGTTTTCATAGGAGGTAGAGTAAAATACCAACTGCACAATCACCTGCTAGTTTTATATATAATTTGCTTCAATATTTTGCTGTTAACCTAGTAAGGCGCAGTTTTGATGTAGAAATTTTAGTGTCAAGTATTCTCTGGTTTCTCTTTCTTTGCATTATTTAAAAAAAAGTAAGGATTTTTATTTTATTTTAAGATTTAATAAAGGAGACTTTTTTCCCCCCCAGGATGGCTTCTGGCATCATGAAAAGTCTGATGGACCATGCAGTCCCTGAAGTCTAAATTTAAAGCCATTGTATTGTATGTACATATGTAATGAGAAAACAGCTAATCTTGGGCTATTATACTCAGTGACTTCTGGATTCTGCACATGAGCCTTTCTTGAGGCTAAGAGAGGAGATGCTGCATTGAACATTTACATGATATATAATGGCTGGGAATGTTACAGTTCAATATGTTACCTTGTTTAGTCATACAACTGTAAGACTTATTTGTAGCCTAATGCTGATTTTACAAATGTGAAATTTTCAACAAAGTTCTGCTGATCTCTTTCTGTAGGATCATGCTACTCTCGTTTACTATTGTTTCTATGATAAGCCATTACAACTAAAGGAAACTAATACATGTTTCTTCTGCAAGTAATAGTATCAGTTACCCATGATCTACACATATTGCTGCTCTTTCTAGGTTCTCTTTCAGATAAATAAGTATTTTTATTGCCTTCTTTGTAAGTATATATCTAGAACAGTATATTTAGAAGTATGACTTTTAGTGCTAATGTACTTTCTGTTCAAGTAACCTTGTTGGCAAAAAAAAGCCAATAGAAAACAGAATTTAAAATTGGCATCATGCCATAAAGAGGCGCTTTAAATGGTGAAGTATACAGAAAAATTGTTACGTTCATCTTTTTTTACTACTCATTTTACAAATTGTAACTCTAAGATGCTTAAATTCTGTAGCCTTAAACAAGTTTAAAAATAAAGTTCAGGAATAATCAAATAAAGATGATAAAATTTGTGGATTTTTTATGTAGGATAAATATTTTAAAAGTCAGAGCATTATTGTTGATGATTGTTGAACCAAACTGAGCTTACAGATAAATGTTAACCATCAAGTGTATCCTAATTAGATTGAAATTGTAATTTATGCAGCATACTCTCTTCTTAAAAATGAAGTATTCCTCCTTTTAAGAATTAGATGGTTCTTTCTGTTGGTAGTTCTTCAACAGAGGTCTAAATCTTTCTGTTAAATGCAAAGCTATTTGAATTGTAATATAACCAACTTCAGTGGGTTAGTGCAGAAATGGTTTCCCTTTCCTGTAAATGGTTTTGGCTAGCAGCAGTCTTGGTTTAAGACAACCTTAGAACTTTTTAAAGGGGCACAGTTAATTGAAACATACACTGCCTACTGTTGCGAATAAAAGCTAATTGGTATACAGTAGTTGATTACTTATAGAACAAACACTGTAAAGAGCTTCCTGTTCTTGTCACTTGTGTGTGTGTTG